ACCACGCAGCATAAAAAGAAGCCCGAGCAATTGTGCAGACGTCAGTGAATCAATTTTACGTTTTGACCCAGCCAGCATTTTCAGCGCTGCACTACATGCAGGATCCAACGAGTTCATCCCGTCATTTAGTACTGCATCGATCGATACGTGTCTCAAGACTGTAACTTCAGCTGCGTAGCTCTCTTGTGACATCATCAGCAACCGTTTATAGCAACGTCGTCTTAAGTCATCAGCTAATCGGTGTAAGGCTGAGCTTTGGACCCGCGCAAAAACGTTATAAATACTTGCTATCAGTACACACTTGATATGATCCTCCTCTTCTTTTTGCAATCGCTCTAACAAATGATTTTCGAACACAACTGGAAGCGATGCAGCATCATTGTCACTCTGAATGGCAGCAAACATTGCTTGCAGGATCTTCGTTCCACTTGACACAGTCGATGCATTTTGTATTACGAGTGGCACAAGAGCATTTTCAATAGACTCCACAGCAGTTGAGGCATGGACGCCACCAAATTGGCGAAGAGCTGTAAATCCTGTCGTGAAAAACGATAGGTGCCAATTCTTTTCACTTTGGGAAGTTAAAAGCAGCCATAGCTTACTGGCGAGAATTTTTGCTCGTCTGTGCTTTAAAAGAGAGCCGCTTTCCTTGTTGCAATTCAGTGATGCAATCACTCGTGCGATAATCACAACATGCGGTGAATAACTGGTCATCGCACCAAATTCGTGCAATACATCGTCTAGCACTTGGATCTGAACACTCATAGGAACGTGCGACGCCAAAATCGCAATGAGCGGCACACCAGCGCGTTGGAACAGCAAACGAAGGTCACACAATACAGACATGTCCGTGTTTGGCATTCTGCTGGAGTAAATTCGCAAAGCAACGAGCTGTACTGCGGCCAGCTGTCGCCGGAGTGCACCGTCCATAGTGCTAGTCACCACAGCTTGTAGCTTGAAAAGAATGCGCTTCCAGACTGTTAAAGGAACATTTAAGGCCAGCGCAAATATCATGAGCTGTAGCAACAGCTCGCATAGTTGGTGACATGTGTCTGAAACGACTGAGCCACTTGTGGCAAAAAACCATAGAAGTTGCTCGCACATTTGTGCTGCATCTGATGCTGCAAGCTGCTGGTGATTAAGTCTTTGTCGAACCATGCTCATGACTGTTGCAATAGCTGCGTTTTGGTCCTTCGCATCTTTATCAGCAATATTCAAGAGGACGTGTTGAAGAACAAGAAACACTGGGACTACCTTTGTGAACGCTTGTGCTGCTGCAGAACCCGTCTGTTTTCTCAAAAAAGACATGAGATCTATGCCAGGGTGAGCATACAGATAGTGAATCAAAGGAGTAAACGAGCAATCTGTCGTCATGCAGTCGCGGACAAGTTGATCCCAGGACGAAATAAACTCAGTTGGTGGCACTGCCGATACCGCAACTGTAAAGGCACTCGAATCGCTGTAACGTTGCCACTTGCTGCTAACAGCTTGTCCATATTCTTTTGAAATGGCATTTTTATCAACTTGCTGATCCGAAATAAGTGTTTTGCAATACTTCCACAGCCACACATACGCATCTTCTTGACAGCTCGCCATTTCTGACTCCACACATTGATTCTGCTTCTTGCCATTCGGCGCATCACTTAAACTCTCCTTGGTCTTTTCTTGCAACCTCTCCGCATCGTTGCATACTATCAAACTAATAAATTGGTGTGGATATTGGCTTGTCGGCATCAGCGCAAGTAAAATACGCACACCAAACGCCACGATGCACGGATCGCCACGGTACGCAAACAACTTTGAGTGTTCACCTTTTCCACCACGTGAGTCTAAGAAATGGACCAGAGCGACAGTCACGGGACTCAGCGACGACGAATCTTCTGTTATCACAAGACGTCCCCTGGCGACATACGAAAGTATATTGGCCAGGACCGCACGAACAAGTTCTTCCATAAACATTGCACAGCTTTTGCTACGGCTCTGACGCAAACTTTCAAGCCAAACAGTCACTTCTTCTCCAGCACGTCCATGCACGTCATTTGTGTCATGGCCGAAAATTTCTATCGCTAACAATGTCCTTTGAAGCACTTTTTCACAAATACTTTGAGTATTTTCACATGATGCCATTGCGAACAAGAGCAATATCTGCCGCAACTTGAAGTGTGCATTTGTATCCATGCTTGTTACGAGGAAACGAAGACGTGCAATATCAACTGCTAGCAGCAAGCGTAGCATCTCAGTGACAATGAAACTATGTAGGGGCTGCGCAGAGTTGTGGATGTCCAAATAATGCGATTTTAGAATCTTTGTTAAGTCAACTTTTACCTCTTTTGTTGTTTGTGGAAGAGATGTGAGATACAGACGGAATACAGCTAAAGCACGAACGTAAATGAGAGCACTCCTTCGATCTTGTGACGCACAAAACTTGAGAAGCAACGAGACAAGGGCTTCTGGACTTGGAAGGAGATTCCGAAGCTCCAGTTGCACTTGGGAAGCAAGATTGAGCGACACTAATGTCGATGCTAGGCGTTCGTAACGTTTTAAAATCGCTTCAATGATACCTAAAGACGAGTAAATAACGAGATGATTATTGTACTGAATACAGCGAGAAAGCTCTTTACGGTAATTGCCAGGTGCAATCAGCCGTGATGCAACTGACTCGGCAGAACACCAGGACACATCACTGCTCGTATGCGTGGGCATTCCAATTCTCACTGCTTTCAACGAGCATGAAAGTAGTCTTTGGAACAAAGACGCAACACAAAACCAGCGGAAAACGGGCTTTGGCTCAAGTTGGAGCGATAACGCAGAAACATACTCGGCGAGAAATCCTGGGTACCTGGCAAGGATGCGTAAAACGAGATTCTGTGCCTGTGTGCTGCGTAAAAGTTCATTTAGGCCAATCGTGCCAATAGCATTGCGAATCACTTTGAGAGCATACACCTGTTCTGACGTGATGTCATCTTCACGCTGCAAGTGTGATACCTTCTTAGCCCAGAACAGTCGAAGAGCATGCTTCTGGGGCACACTATACAGTGTACTATGATCAAAGAAAAGAGCGTTTAATACACGCAGCGCCGCATCGCGAATACTCTCGTCGTCGACCCCATGCAACAAGGCTATCAACTGATGGATACAAGTGGCGTTGTATACCACTAATTTGCTCTTGTGCTCTACATTCTTGTTGTGAAGCACCAAGTTCCCCAATTGATCAAATATTGTCGTCAGCATTGTAACCGAGTCGCCGTCCAAACTCTTAAACAACGTTGATGTTAGACCACCCTCTTTGGTAGCAAAACGGAAGACACTTGTATCTGGACACGCAGTAAGTGCTAACACAAGATCGACATAAGCCGCTCTTAGTTGGAACGATGCTTCGACAATTTTTCCATCTTCCATAACCTCGGGCTTCTTCCAGCGCCTTGTCGCCAGCTTCACAAAGGCTGGACACTGGAAGTTGAACAATCGAACAAGCTCTCGAGCTGTAGCACCACTGACTTTTGCCACTGCTGCAAGAAGTTCCAACGCACGAAATTCAATAAGTGGCTTGTCACTCCAAGTCAAAAGTTTTTCAAGTTGCGAGGTCTTTTCGCGCACTACACGGAGAGCCAACGCATCAGCCTGCGTGGCATCTTGCCGCTGTTGCGTCTTTAACAAGTGCGTGACGAGATGTAGAAATTCTGCAAAGCTCTCACGTCGTTCCCAGCGAGTACCAACACCGTGTTGGTCTGGCCACACGCGCAATAGAAGCTCACATTGAGAGTGGATGGCCAGGAACTGGAGAGATAGCGAGGACGCATTCTCGGCAGTGAACTGAGACGCATCATTGGTTTCAGTGGGTGGCGATAAAAGCAATGCGCGGGAAAACGATAACAGCGCATCGTCTAAAGGCTGGTGAGTGCGCTCCGCTGCCAATAGAAACTCGCGCAGCGCCGCCATTTGCCACAACTGTTGGTGTCCAGGACCTGCGTATACTTCATGTATACGGGTATACTTTCGTAAAAAAAATACATTGATATTTCTTGATGAAATATTACGTCAGGCTTGTCATTAAGAAAGAATTTGATACATACAACAACTTGAATGTCCCTATGGTGGAAGCAAGCCTGAATGTGGCAATCTTTATGCAGATAGCGGGCATATTGGATCGGGGGTCAATAGTAACGAGCCTTGGGTGCTAGGCTGGGATCGTGAGATGCTGGGATAATACTCTGGTGACAACGCGTTCTCTCCAGCCTCAATCCTAAATTCTACGACATTTGTTTCATTCTTCATGTACGCATGTCGGTACTTACGCCATCCCCAAGGACGCCGACGTTGAAAGCGACGAAAAGTATCTTGAAGACCCAAGTCAATTAACTCGTAAAATTGGAGCTCTCGAGGTGATCGTCGTAGGGTGCCAATGATATCGTCAAGTGGTATAAAACACCACCGAACGCATTTGTATAGACGAATCACATCTTTAGCTCGTCCATTGTATTTTTGAGGTACTTGATTAGCAGAACTGCCAAGATAGTTGAAACTTTTACCAAATACCAGCTTATTTAAGCATCGTAACAACGTTCGCTCGCCTCCAGGAATTCGTAGCCGATCGCTTCGCAATACAAGCACAAGAGTCTCTATAGGTAATCTCTGCATCTCGGACACTACCATGAGATCGGACAACTCGGTCGATGCTTCATGCGGAGCCGAATAAAAAAGCGTCGTTTGCAGCAAAAAGTGGTATATACTGCAGACGGGATCCCCCCAAACAAAGAATCTGCCTCGAAACTGGACTTTTCCAGTACCTTCAGGCTGAAAGGCTGCAGTTGAAGCAACAGGAGCTACCGGCGACGGAGGGACAAGATCCCCCCATTGACTATACTGCTTACGACAGTGCTGGTACTCGATTATTACCTCTTGAAATACTTCAGCATGATCAGGTTGAGCTCGCCAATACTTGACCTTCATTTGTCCACGTATCCAAAAATGGGGATCAGTGTCAAAACCAATATAGTCATCTGGGTCAGTTGTTAATAGCTGAGGTGACGAAGATTGAATGATACGCCACAAAATTGGCATGTTATCTGTAATGTCAATGCGAACTTGAAGCTGAAACTTGCCAAATTCGAGCAACGTGAACAAATTACCCTCACCGGGTTTTACTTCGAGTTCCACAGGTTCTCTTTCCAAGTATGGTTTCCACTCCGGGGCAAAGTAACGGTGCATAGCACGAAGAGAAGGCGGATATGGCGTCTGAAACCGGTTATTTAACCATTTGCTTAATGCATCTAGTAAATTCCTCCAAAATTCTACTAGCCGGATATTATTGATAAGTCCCACCATAGCTCGAATTAATATATCGTGGTGTGCTAACCGACTTATATAGACACACCGCATATCGGCTAGTACTTTTTGATAGTGCTCAGGTTTTAATGCCTTGACAAACTCCAGTAAGTCATCGCACAAAATTTGACGCATAACCTTACGTGGCAAAGTTGAAGCATCCAGCATCAGCTCCATCCACGTTGATGTCGTCACGTGTCGAATTGCAACTATCAGGCTGAAATACAGCATTGAATGTCTCATTCCTAACCACTGCCCAAGCTTCACCGCTTGTATAGCATTGCAGTCGTTGATCATTCGCACTTTGAATCTGTATATATATTCGACTGCCGTGACCACAGCTCCAATATTTGTTCCTTCAATCTTCACATGCATCACGCCTCTTTGCTGCTCTCTTTCTCTCTCAAGACGAGAAAGAGTGACTGGATTCAGCACATCCACTTCACTAAATAAGCTTCTAGCACGACGTGATTTGCACGCAATGGTTTGTTCAATAGGCGGCTGGTTTTCGTCTGTCACTGTATCAGGATCACTTCGTGGCCTCTTTCGCAGTTGGTCAACAATGGGACTGTCTTGTCGAGCTGCATTATCCAGGTATTCATGAGCTACGCAACGTACGTAATCTAGACGTAAAGCTTGATAGTTACGAAGTGGACACTTGGAATAGTTCGCAGCTTTGGCTTTGATCATGCGTAGCTCCTCGTGTTCCAGTACCTTGAGCGCAATCGCTCCATCTTTCCTTTCGGGCAAATGCCGTAACTGTCGTAGCTGCTTGTAGAACCATGGACAGCGCAATTGTAACACCGAAAGGTGAAGAGCAACTGCGCATCCGTCCGAATGCAGTACAATGTCTGGCGGATCACATTCGGTGGGTGGAACATTTGTCGATTTAGTGGATGCGCCGATCAGTTCCTGAGGCTCCTGGCGGGACACTGGTACCCTTGATGGAATACCAAATTTAATGCCATATTCATTTACACCAGAAGGATTTGTCTCATCCAGCTGCAGCACACTCCGATCACTTTCTACTACGCGATACATGCGATCGATTAGTGGTCGCCGGTCAAAACTTATTAGGTAGCATATTGGTTTAATCTTAAGTAAAGCTTTTAATTCTGCTATACTTTGTTGAAGTTGCTGTTTTTAGTATCTAATTGTTAAAACCCAAATTTTCCAGGCTCGCGAAATGAAAAACATGTCTCTAATCACGCGACTTGCGAAGCTTTTGATGCTCTCTGCAGCACTATGTGCTGCCAGTGACGCCTCTGAGATGACTCAAAAGATTTTGCGCGAGCACATGTCTACCAAGACGCTGTATGCGCCGCCAATGAGGTCGAATCCTGATTCTGTGGATGATACGTGTACCCCTGTGCAGCTCAATTTTGTTATCCGTCATGGAACCAGAAATCCCACAATTAAAGATATCACACGAATCAACAACACGCATAGTCGAATTCTTACAGCTCGTAACAAATCAGTCCCGTCGTGGGTGGAGAGCTGGAAAAATCCGTATCCAAAGGAGACAGAGGCGTGGCTGGCAGACCCCGGCATTCGTGAGTTGATCGAAATTGGGCACCGACTTCGAGCTCGTCTATCACCTTTGGCGGTATATTATAATGCTAGTAAATTTGTCTTTGATCATACGTGGAAAATTCGTACAAAGCAGAGTGCTCAAGCCTTTGCATTTGGGTTTTTCGACGGCGTGCAACCAGTTTACTATCACAGTAGTCCGATCGGAAAAGACGAAGTACTGCGATTTTACGATAATTGTCCAGCTTTTCAGACTCTGATCGATACAAACAAGAGTTCAACTATCGAGCATAGCAAATATCGCGACAGTGAACAGATGCAGAAAAATCTGATCAAATTTCAGAAAGTGGCAAATTTTGCTGATGCAACACAAAAAGATATGGAAGCAGCGTATGCAGGGTGTGCATTTGATGTCGCTGTGCAAGATGTGTACGATCATTGGTGCTCCTTTTTTGACGATGAAATGCTGCTTTCGATGGATTATTTTCAAGATCTAAAACATTTTTATCGAAAAAGTCATGGTCATGCTCTGTCCTACGAAATTGCGACGCCACTGTTACAGGATATATTCCGTTCGATGAAGAAACGTGTGTTGGCAAACAGTGGCATTGAAGGGTACTTTCGCTTTGCTCACGCTGAAACTATCCTGCCATTGGCATCACTTTTGAATGTAAGCTACTTTGACCGCCACACTAGTGATCGTGAAGGGCACTTTCGGGCAGACACACCACTCAATTTAGCACTGCAGCGAAAGTTTAAAAGTTCCACGTTGGCACCGTTTGCAGCGAACATTGGCTTTGTTCTCTATGAATGTGCCAACCATGATGAAGAAGCAAAAGACACGGCCTTTAAGGTGAAAACGCTGCTTAATGAGCGTGAGGTACTCTTTAATGAATGCGAAGGCCAAGCGCTTTGCCCATTTGATGTCTTGGAGACAATCTTTTACCGGTGGCTGTACGAGTTTAATTTTCAAGAACAGTGCATACTAGTCTAATATCACATCATATTGAAAGCAATAAATTTGCAGAATGAATAACATCGTTACTGTTTCTTTCAGCTAGTCCAGCTCATTTAATTCTGTATGAGTGGGTGGCGGTAGAGGCGGCATAATACGTGTCGCTTGTTCAACCCAGACGGTTTGCTTCACTGGGGAAGGATTAGGGAGAAGATATTCATCAGTCATACTCGAATGGGTAAGTGGTGCTTCTTGTTTAATTTTCTGTGATGATTGAACGTCGTTTGTATCCTTCGCTTCGCCTGTCTTTGACAATGATGCTGCTAAAGTGTTAGCAATCGGTGCAGGAGGTAGCGTCACTGCTGACGAAGGTGTCAAGGGAGCATCAGCTTGCATCGCACTGTTTATTTGATCACTGCTACTAGAATCAATATGAAGCATTATGCTTTTAGTTGGGGCTTCCGGTGCGGAGGAGGCTCTAATACCCTCAGAAACCTGAAACAAGGTATTGACCAAGGAATTTTCGCTTGACGTAGTGGCAGCCCCCAGGGAAGCGCATTGATGCAGAACTTCCATACGTTTCATATCGACTGGGATCGCTTCAGCTGCAGTTATTTTGTTTGATATTGTACCGTAGTCATCTTCGATGTTTCCTTCATTCTCATTTGTGGCTATGTCAGCATTAGAAACACGCTCGGCTGGCGCATTGACAACGGATTCCCACCGTTTCTCGCGCTCTTGTTGCAAAAGAGCACAATCTTGAACTGGTATGACTTTTTCACCTGAAAAAATATTAAATTCCTCGGTTCTTTGCTCTGGAGTTTCGGCTATGCTTCGCCGTTTCTCATCTTCTTGTCTTTTTCGACGACCTTCAATCATCATCTGCTCAAAATACAAAAAGTTCCTGTCATCTCTCTCCTTCTTTTCACGTCGTATCGCATCCATCTCCCGACGTTCCGCCTCTTGAGCCAGCTTCATATCTCCGCTGGAAGCTTCAAGTGCCTTTCCCCATGCTTCAACGCGGCGCCGTTCATCGTCAAAAACTGGTCGATCATCCAAGTATTTCAGTTTACGACAACGGTATATCATAGTTTTTCGATATTGTTTGATGTGTTTCACAACTTCGTTGCCTTGCAAGTACAAAACCTTGAGCTTCGGTAGCCGAGCGAGAATATCCACGATTTCAACATCACTGATACGATTGCTTTGAATGTCCAGAACGGATAGACTTGGTACACGAAGCACATGTGCGATGTCCTTCGCGCTCGTCAAATAGTTGCCTTTGAGTGCTAAACTCTGCCAAAAGTAAAATTAATCGATCATAACTCAAATAGATTACGGAAACATTCGGGACACGAGAAGTCTGACTTACCGTGAGATGCTTGAGATGGTCAAGATTTTCAATGCACGAAACTTGGTTTTGAGAGAGATTGAGCGTGTCCAACAAAAGTTGTGAGCCCAATCCCTCAATTTTCTGAATAAGGTTTTCATGTAAATAGAGCGTACGTAGCTCTTTCTGATTCTCAAGACCTTCAATTTGTGTAAGTCCATTGCCTTCAAGCCACAATGCCTTTAATCCTGTGTATTCTTCTAGATTTTTAATGCTACGAAAACCCTTGTAGTGCAGGTACAACTTGTCATTGATGGCCGGCGTCACGTACAAATCATTGTCCTTACAGATTTTTTTTAACACCTTCTTATCCATCTCCATTTTGCGGATCGGTCGTGAACTTGTTCAGATATCGTCCACAAGTTACCCGTTGCGTCTTTTCGAGATTAGGACGAGTGGACCACACCTCTAGCTTTGAACGCCAAGAATCGGGACCATCTCTTCATACATATTCTCTAGAAAGCTCTCACAGAATATTCATTTAAGTTGGATATCTCAAAACAGTATGCTTTTTAGTTCTTTTAAAAAGCTAGCTAAGCACTATATGAGCCATAGCAGATACTCAAATCAAATCGACCCAGTATTTCTTCCAATCGAATGCTTACAGGACGTTGACGCAGTTGAGGTCACGGTACGCTTCATGCAAACGAGCAATCATTGCCTCCTCCGACTTACGCACCCATACACGTGGATCATAATACTTCTTGTTTGGAGCGTCCGGGCCATCGGGATTGCCAATTTGGCCTTGCAAAAAGTCCTTTTTCTCTTCGTAAAACTTACGCAGACCATTCCAGTACGCCCATTGCGTATCCGTGTCAATGTTCATCTTAACTACACCATTGCTTACAGCCGTCTGGATCTCTTGGGCCGTCGAGCCAGAACCACCGTGGAATACAAAAAACACAGGTTTTTCCGACGCAATAGATTTTTCTTTAGCAATGTGCTTCTGGAAGTCGCCAAGAATCTCCGGGTGTAGTTTTACATTTCCTGGTTTGTACACACCATGCACATTTCCAAAGGCAGCGGCAATCGTAAAGTAGGGTGATACAGAGCCGAGCTCGTTGTAAGCGAGCAATATATCCTCTGGCTGAGAATAAAGCGAGGCATTGTCGACGTTGCTGTTGTCTACACCATCTTCCTCGCCACCGGTAATGCCCAATTCAACTTCAAGAATCAAATTTAGCTTGGCCATGCGCTCGAAATACTTCTTGCTGATAGCAATATTCTCCTCCATTGGTTCTTCCGACAAGTCAAGCATGTGCGAGCTCCACAGAGCAACGCCATGCTCGGCAAAGTATTTTTCATCAGCTTCTAGCATACCGTCAAACCAAGGCAATAGCTTTTTGGCACAATGGTCCGAATGAAGAATCACCGGAATGCCATAGTGTTTAGCCATAGCACGTACATGATAAGCAGCGGCAATAGCGCCAAGAATTGAAGCATTCTGATTCTTGTTGTCGATGCCTTTACCAGCGTAAAAAGCAGCGCCCCCGTTCGACGTCTGGATGATAATAGGTGATTTGGTGTCGCGAGCGGCTTGTAGCGCGGCATTTGCCGTCGATGACGACGTCACGTTCACAGCTGGGATGGCAAAATTGTGCTCCTGAGCATATTTGTACACCTTGATCACGTCCTCACCATTAAGAACGCCAGGCTGCACGATATCAAGAAGACCCATGTTAAGTTGAAGAGGGTAGAGGGTGGGGGGAGAAACAAGATTTAAAGTGACCCCACGTTGCTTGATCGGGGTATCCGGGTCGACCCATCAAGCTTGACCCACCCATTGAGCATTTATTTGAAAGGTGACCTTTTATTCCTTAGATTTTCATCCAGCAGATTCTTCGGTTGTCAATTATTTATCATGAGCAACTTTTATATAATATTCACTATGGTCTATTTTGTAGTCACAGAATCTGGCTACAAAGCATCCAGATATTTCACCAAACATAAGTTCCCTATTCTAAATTGCTCTTGACAATGTCAATTTGTTTGGCAAAAGCAGTCTCACCGACAACTAAGGCTTCTTCCTCTGCCGAGGTCAGCTCGGGCATTTCCTTAAGACATGCGAGGATAGTTGATTCTGTATTGCTTAATTTATTGAGAGCATCAGCAATCTCATTCATCCCAATCGGAGGGTACAATGCCGCGCCGAAATCCACAATGGCATCCTGAGCCTCGGAGTAGCTTACATCTAGTTTGGCTGTCCATTTGAGGTACGCATCCTGGTCATTTGAGATCGTCAGCTTTTTTAGTGTGAGTACGCCACGCTTCATTATGGCCGCGCTCATTGTCAAAAGCTTGAGCCCATTTTGAAACAGTGTCCTCTCCTCCTCGGTCAGCTTCGAGTCAAATCCAAACTCGTCTTCTTGTTCCACCTCATCCAAGGCCGCAACTTGACCATTGTCGTCTGTTTGTTCGACAAGGAACTCATTCAGCTCATCAATTGTTGAGTTTAGCATCGTAATACACTAAACAGCGCAAAAGACGACATAGTCATTACACTTATTCATGTCAAAGATGTCTACATTGCGCACCTGTAGCATGCTGCGCTTCGACGCCACGCAATTTGACTTTGACACACGAGCGGTAGAATATTCCCAGACCTGGCCGGTAAATTGTGGTATGCGGTCCAGGTCCCCTTTTTCAATGGCCTTCACGAGACTGTGCAAGCTTTTGATGAGTCGACTGCATAGAAAAGCATCAGCCCCGGTTAAATGGCCTCATTCCTGCAATCTATCTCAACTCACGCACATTGCATCGCTAAGAATCTCCGCCGCGAGCGATGGTCCAGCGCCACAGAACAGCGCAACGTTGGTGGCGGCAAGCAGCTGCTCGCAAGGTTTGCCCAGCGCCTCACATATACTGGCACTTTCTACTTTGGTTGGCGTTGTTTTTTTGCTATACACAAGTGAGAATTTGGTGACCGTGTGACCTATGGCTTGGGCTGTCTAAAATGAACAACCTTCAGCAAATCGCGGTAGACTTTTGATTAGATCGAAAGCTTACCGCAACGAAAACGTCTCGAGCAACATCAAACTCCGTCTGCTGCAACCAAAAGGCAGGTTGGAAGCAATGCTGCTTTTTATTCTTCTCCTGTAACTGCTCCAAGTGGTTTAAATGTTCGTGAAGTTGCGCGTCAAACGATGTCAAGCTATTCGCCATAACTTGCGTGGTGGAGCGTCTATTGCAAAACCAGGTAAATGGTGTAGTCATTCCAACTCAAACTGTGTATCAAATATCGCATTTCAGTGTTTCTCGCGGCAACTTTTACTACATTTAATTAAACTTTGGAATTGGATTGGGCTGCGTAACAGCCCAATCCTGGTCATCTACCTCATCTCTTTAAACACCTTTGCATTTCAACATACTCCAGAAGCTGATAAAAATGATAGACTTTGGGGAAGATGAGTGGCAAGATGAGTGGGAGTGGCCTGCAGACTGCAAGGCTCAGCGAGAGATGGAAAGCCATCTACGTTGTCAGATCTGTGGCGATTATTTCCACGGCCCTGTTTTGCTTCCTTGTTCGCATACATTTTGCTCTGCCTGTGTTCGGAGATTTTTGCAGAGTAAAGGGGCGCATGGCTGCTGTCCGTCATGCAAACATCCTTGTACATCGCGAGATTTAGTGCCAAATCGCGCATTAGAGCAAGTAACACTGCTCTTTGAGACGTCAAAGCCAGAACTACTGAGACGACTGCAATGTACAACAGTGCCTAGTTCAGCAACTTGTACACCCACAACAGAGAAGGGTAAGATTAAAAAGACGAAATACGACAAGCCGGAACGATTGCCGGTTATGTCGTACAGTGTTATGCGGGACAAGGAGGTGAGGAAGCTATTGGACTCGATTAATGTCCGAGTGCCGACCAAGAATCGGGAAGAGATCATTCAAATTCACAAAGAGGTGAGGAGCAATAAACTTTTTGCCTTTTTCCTGGCAATTTTGTTTAAACACTGTTTGGATTTGTCCTTTGTATCGTGTTTGCCATGTAGTATGTGCTACTGTCGAATGCTCAGGCGGACTCAGTGAATCCAAAAAGTATCAAAGAACTTCGCGAGGAAGTAGTGCGGAATCATTATGCACGAATGCAGCAAAAGGCCAAGACAGATGCATTCAAACGCAGTCATAGCGGGGATGAAAATGCTGCAAGTGGAAATATAGCGTCACCATCGTCCGGGGTCACGATACAAATGCGTGCTAATTTTGAGAAACTTCGACAAGATATTGCAGACCGAAAAGCAGGAAAGACTTTATCGAATTCGACACAAACGACCACTGGATCACTCACAAATACACCAGCACAGGCAACTTCAAAGGACGACGATGACGTTGTATCGGCTGTAGGTGTATGGCGTCACTTTTGTGCTTTGGACACGAGTATCAAACAGGAATTCTATGTAAATTCGGTTACACATGAGATTCGAACGGAGCTGCCTTCGCCACTTGTTCAAGAGCAGTCGCCCGCGAATCGCTATGACGATCTAAATGGTGTAGCGCGTGCTTTTGTAAGGAAGGGATCCACCGATGTGAGTCCAGACGATGAGGTGAAGGTAGCAACTTCGGTAAAAGGCAAGACTAAAGCACAGCGAGCAATCGCACCAGCTTTCGCTTCACCCGATGCAACCTCAGAGCTTCAAAACGCTAGTGAGGGTATTGTGATTTCTGATAATGGACATTTAGAGGAGGGTACAGATGAGGTAAGTGGGGACAAGAAAAGAGAAGGCTTTGGTAAGCGCGCTAGAAGCGATGATGATACCGATGCAGCGAATGACTTGATTTACGCAATCGAAGACACAAATGAGACGCCAAGCAAATGGCAGTGCTCGCGATGTACACTAATTAACGAAGACAACTGTCACCAGTGCGAAGCTTGCGGCTACGAACCTGTTTCCTCCTCAGCCAAGAAACGCATACGCAAAAAGTTGCACTTTCAAAGCAAAATATCTATGTCATAGACTTTACTATTATCTCGCAAGTTGTTTCCATTACGAGGCATCGAAGAATGGCTGCGTAATATCTAGTCTTACGAAAGCAGCTTTTTGAATTCTTCGTATTCGATTTCACCACTTCCATCCGAATCCAGCTCATTCAACATGCGGTCGATATCAATAGGCAAGCCGAAGTCTTTTTTGATAAGCTGCACTAGCATTTTGCGTTCGACATGACCTGTTTTATCAGGGTTACCTCCACAAGCCACAAAAGCGTCAATCAAG